GAAAATAAAAGCAGCTTGATTTCACTGCTCCATCCCGCAAGAATAATATAATGTGTTAAACACAAACACATCATCTGAAAGAAATTCCCTTGCAGTAAAACAGAAATTCATATCAAAGACATATTTCTCATATTATGAGAAATCTTGCACGGGATCCTTGGGAAAGATATATTCCAGCTGTTGTGTAGAATATACGACGGCCTCCAGTTGAAACAAGGAAAGAAGTCCGTTTTCAATTAATGTTTCCGGTAGATGCAGATTATACCAGATACCTGAAGGTTCAACACTTGATTATGATGCCTTCACAATATGATCCGGATGCTTCTTCCCAATTTTCACTGGAAAAAATGAATATGCATGCAACCATCACACTGCCGAAGTAAATTTGATCCACCATGATAAAATATTCAACATACATTTCAGTGGCATGTAATCGGAAAACGTGTCTTGTAGACCCAACTCTTCTGCTCCATCAGCGTCATCTTCAGTTTCATCCATCACTGGACCAGCCATTGGAGGACTCAGCATGCCTGCCCTATTATTGATTCATGAATTGGAATGGACACTACATTATTACCATAGGATAATTTGGGAATGCCTGCTGGAATCCGTTCATCATGGGCATACCCTGCATCAATCCACCCATAATTTGCAGAGGCATCATTGGTGGTCGGGGAGGAAGTCCAACTCCCGTTCCTAGGAAATAAGATACCCTCTGTTCACAGCTACAATAATAAAAAAAATGGATCGCACTTATTATTTCATTTCTGGGATCACAATTTTGGCACTTGAGTCTTCCGAATTTTCCAAATTGTGCACGGGTTCGTGAAATACTTTACAGTGGATACGGATCATATGCACTTCAGACGCAATCCTTCTGTACAGAAGAGTATATTTTCTCGTGACTGTCAGATAGGTTGAATCCTCAACCCTGGTTCGAAAAGACAGTTACATTCACAGTAAAATACCGAGACACCGTGAAGCGTCATTATGGTAAAACTTCCACTCAACGCCGCTCCATTCAACGCTACCTCTTCCAGCGCCAGCCTCTCATTGAGTGACTTCAACTGCAATGGTTTAGTAGTGTAAAATGTACAGTATTGTATAGGGAGACTCCAAGGGACAATTAACAATGCACACAAAAAAACACCTTTTTAAATAGATAAAATATATTATCTAGGGAAACTCTCATTAACAAATAACAGTGTGAATATTAAAAACATTTTCAAAATAAATAAAAAATTTTGAATATCCAAATAATATTGCACAAATTATGTGAATAAAAATTTCAAGGAACTTGTATCTAGTCTGAATATCCAATAAGATTTCTTACTAAAAATGAAATGACACAGAGCATAAGAAAAAATTTTGAATATCACCTCTGTCAGTGTCTTAGCAGAAGGAAACACACCAATTTTCAAATCTCAAATTATGTGAGTAAAAGTGTGATGGGTGTTTGTTGAGCACCACCATGAACACAATGACAATTTTGAGGGTTGGTTTTTCCAGAAATAAATATACATTATGGATAATTTATTATTGATTTACATGATGGTGAACATGAAGTATTTAATACCAAGTATTTACAGTTATGGTTTTTAATATATTTTTCAAATAGGGAAGAATCATGAGGTCTGAATACTTCATCAAATTAAAAGTGCACAAAACCTTAAAAATATTCAGGAATGCATTTCAATGCATTCCTGGATTTATCTAGTATACATCAGGGATTGAATGTGTGCTGAAGCAAACATATTCTACTGTAATTTGGAGACACAATTCATCCCTGATATTGTGGAGATTTAAGAACTTCATCCTGGATTATAAGTTCTTCAATTAAGATGGAAAACCAATTAAGTAAAGTACTGTCATGCTTGAATTCCTTGTGCAAAAATATGAATACAATGTGAAAAACTCAAAAATCCTGTGAACTCTAGAATCTCAGCAAATAATTGGGTAATGACAAGAAGTGGGTGAGGTTTTAACTGAGATATAACTGTTTGATCAGTTATTATTGCAAGGAAAATATAGTAATTAAAAAATTAAAGAATGCTGCAGGTTCATGTATTCAATGTTATGTTATCCTCCTACACCATTCTTGGGCATGTAATTCCTATCTTGCAGCATGCACAGTTCATGAAGTCACTCATTCATGGCGTTGATGGACAGTGGCAGGGAGCAGCCCTTTAGGAGGGCAGCGTGGAAGTGAGTGGCGCTGAGTTTGAAAGTGTACCATAACGTCCTTCATAGAAACTGCCCCCTACCTTAAGCTCAAAGCGCACAGTCAGGCACGGCGGATGCCCGAAATATCCTCACTCCACGTCTACATGCGTCAAACAGGTGTCGCTACCCTCAGCACGATGTACAAACAAAAACAGCAGCAGAGACGAGCACCCTACAGATACATGTGTCAGCAGCAGCAGTTGATGAATGGGGTCTTCCTGCAGGGTATCCGGGCTATGTACCAAATACAACAATCAATACTTTTGAACTCCAAAAGCCGGGGACTACGAAATAAAATGCACTTGAAAAAACCAAATCAAGTGGAGTATTTCTTATTTAGGTATGCAGACGTTCCGTAATATTTTTTTGAAGCACTCATGATTGCTGGTGACAGCTAGATGATCAATTGCTATACAACATTTGCATTGCATGTCTGGGAGGTAGCTGACTGGTGGGGAGATGAATTGGTGATTTTGAAGGATACCTCTTCATGGTGGAGGAATTTAAATGTGCTGTCTTAACCGCGTAACGCCTCAGGAATGTGCGCCAGGCGCCATGGGCTAATACCCCTCAAATTGTGCAGGAAGTATAATAGCGTATTTTCGAAAGAGGGACCATATTTTGCCTCCAAGTCTCAGGTATATGAGCAATACTAAATACCCTTTCTTCAGAAGTATCCGAGTTGCCTGGTTCCTCGTCCTGTTGAATATTTGCCTCTGCAAATAAAAAAGGGGTCCATTTTTACTCCGTTCATTTTCTATTTGCCAAGTACATCCCTAACCATGCTCTGTTTTCTGGGACCTTGCATTCACTTATACAATATAATATTCTATAGTCCTCAACATTTTCTTATAGCATATCTGTACAACACTTCCTTCAGCCCCAGACTGTAATAATGTTTTCATGATCCACTTTCAATTCAATGCCATTTACTGTATCACAAGCACAACACAAAGGGCATATACAAGAGGTTCACCAATAATTCAAGCACAACACAAAAGACACAGCATACAGAAGGTACACCAATTCAACATTAAATGCATTAATTTTCCTTGTCATCTGTTGGAACCTGCTATGATGCCTCAACTTCCCTCAATTGGGAAGAAGACCTTCTGTATTATACATGGCATCTACTCTTCCTCAATGTAGATAACAGGTCCCATGAGTTCCCAAAGAGTTAAGATTGCAATGCAATCCTGAACAGGGGGCTTTTCCAAGTATTATCTAATGAAACGAGTAAGCAGTTATTCCAGAGGTCCTAGAAACCTACTCTGGAAGTTTGAAACTAGAATTTCACAAATTTTGCAGATCCTTCCATGGATGCTGTCACAGAGAGTGACAATGAAAATGTGAATGCTTCAAAGCACAACGTTTCCTTCAAACATCTGTACTTGAATGCCTTGTTCTGTCTGTCCCTATGTCCCTATGTGATGGTATAACTGTGCATTGGTTCTTTGGAAATATTGAATGTGGATCAACGTTCTGACTTCCCAATTCCAAAATTCTTAAAAATAGGAATGTTGATCAACATTCCAACTTCCCAATTCCCAGTTCATGAAAAGTTGGGAAATTGATCAATGTTATAACTTTCATTTTCTGCTTCTGGTCTCATGAAGTCTCATTCCAGTAAACATCAATACCTCAGTAGTAATTTTAGTTGTCTTAATTTTAACCTAACAGTACGAATAAGATAACAGAATTGGCAGCTATGAATGAACATTTGCATGTGACAAGACAACAACTGCTGAATGCAAGGGGTCAGTATTCATCAGCACAAAATTTTGCATTAAAAAGTTGCTGTAAATAAATAAAATCAAACTTCTCCAAGTCAAACTCAAACAGACCAGCAAATATTCAACTTAGAGTATTTTGTTGTGGGGGGGGGGGGAGGAGGGCAATATATTTTTCTAGGAACAAAATTCCAAAGTCAAATTGGTGATACAGTACTCATTACAATAACAAACTCCAGACTTTCACAGATTTTGGTGGCTAGCTTGGCACTGTCCTTCAAGACTACTGAGACCTTGAATTTTAGATTAATCAGGATACATTTATTTCATTAGATTCCTGCCAGTCAGCTAATGTTACCCATTTTTAGCTTCCTGTATTTTCAATTCTGTACTTCAACTGTATAGGCACATTTCATGTTCAAGGTTTAGGGAACTGATGAGCATCAGCAAATTCTTATATGAAAATTTTCATATGAAAATTGGGAAATGGGCGAAAAAATCTGAAGATTAAATTTAAAAAAATTTGAAGTGGGAACAAAAATTTATTATAACTTTAGAAGTCTGCAGGAGAGGAATTTGTTAAAAATAAGATTGATTTAATCTGTGTCTTCGGGATAACCCGGACTTGGAAATGTTGTAACACAATGTTACTGTGATTTTGAGCCATAAACAATTCCATGAAGGAGTTGACAGGGTGCTGAACTTGAAAACAAGAGCCTAATTAGTCACTCACTATCCTCAAGAAGCATCCTTGAATTAAAATTTGTGTTGCTCTTCTATTTTCTGCATCCTCAAAATAATATCACAAAGGCCTCTTAAAATTAGAGTTATAGATGATTGAGGGAAGCGCTTAAATCTCAGCAAAATTCTTGCTTAGGTAATTCAGACATAGTCCCAAAACAAACATTGGACATTTGCTTTTTTTTTACCTTGGAAAGGCCCAAGTATACATTGCGATTCCTCTTTGTGCACTCTAAATGCCAAATAATTTAGTTACATCCATGCTCATGCTGTATTTAAAAATAAATGGAATAAGAAAAAGGCAGGTCTGGTTACCTTCATTTTTATTATCCTCCCTAAACAAACATCAACAACTGGGGCAACAATGAACAATGAGCCCCAACAACTTCAGAACCATATGGTAACAAATGATGGTAACTGTTCCATAAGAATCCCGATCTGGTCTCGCGAGAAATGTAAGAGCACCATCCTGCAGGAATTCAAGTCAATCCCTTCAAAAAGTAAATAAATACAACAGCTTCCAGGAAATTCCAAATGGAATCCACGCTCGGGGATTTGATGATAAAAAACAATCTGCAAGAGCTCTTAGTTTTGCTGAACGAGCCAGCCGTTGACGACTCGCAGCGGCAGGCGGAGAATGTTCCCCAGGGACTGCAAACTCTGCGACACACTGGGCAGCTGCAACTGAGGCAAGTTGTTGGAGAAGGAAGACAGGCCTTGCAAGGCATTCGTTGGTCGATAAGGCGCCAAGTTGCCCAGAATAACCTACATTAAAAAATGAAAAGTTGATAAGTTTGTGATGAAAAAAAAACCATTCAACGCATAATACCTTAAATCACAAAACGTTCAAAATTTCAATATTTTTTTTAACCAGCAGTGAAAAATTCACGATAGCACAAATGTCATTCAGACGCTTGGAGATTGTAATCAATGAGTTTCAAGAACCTATTTCGAATATATAAACTGGGTTTTCCTTCCAAGTTAGGCTACGTTCCAAGAAGCTATCCTCGCGGTGTACAATTTAATTATAGATAATTTCAGTTAATTTCTTCAAATGATGAATCCCATAGACTTCCACATCATATTACTAAGGTAAAACCTCTCAAAGTTCATTTTCAACAGACCTTCAAAAAAATGTGACCTTTCACGGTAGGGAGGTTTTGAGTTAAGGAATCAAGCATTTTTGCTGTGAAAAACATTCCAAAATGTATAGAAAATTGTAAATGGTAATATTCTGAGCCTCAAATTACTTGTTGAAATGAGGTGACAGGATGCTGAAGTTTGAAGCAAGGGTTCATTTTCCCAATAAGTCTTCTACCTCCTTTCAAAACACAACAAGGTACGTTTTAGTGATTTCCTCTTTCCTGTGCCAAGAAAAAATAGCCAAAAAGCCTTGGAAAACTTGACTTACGGAGGTTTTAGAGGCAAAACCTTCTATGTAAAGTTCAAGAGGTTTTTAACGCATTGTTTCGATGGGAATTCAGACCAGGACTTTAAAACATTGAGGTAGAATTGGTTTGACTTATCAAGGTTTAATCCTACGTTTAACATCTGAAGAAAACAAAAACCCTCAAATATCAATTTTACAGTAAGAATTACTATAGGTCAACCACATACACAGAACACGAACACCGGAACGAAACCTTTCACTCGTGATAAAAGAATGCCGCCAAAAAGCGAGGCAATCTCGATTATTTCTACCTTTTTATATTCATGGGGAACACTCTTTTCTGATATGCATCGCAGTTTAAATGTATTTCAACGAAGGGATTCGCAAGAAAAGTGTTTGAACAACGGTTTCAGAAAATGCATGCCTCAGTATAGTTCTCAAATGCAGGGATCAAACCACAAAATCTATGGAGGAATTCAAAGGAATAAAAGGTTACATTATGTTCGGATGTTCCGTTACCTGGCTTTCGTAAGGATCATTCGCCGGTACATTCGTGATGATCTGCGCTCCGTTGATGTTCTGGACATGACCCACGCCTCCGTTATTCTCCAGGGGATTCAAGATATTGCCCAGCTCCAAATCCAGCTTTTCAGAATTCTGGACTCCAGATAGTTCAAGTTGGGTACTTCCAGCAGATTCACCCTCTGCATGAGGCCTGGAATAAAATTGTATCATCCGTGACAAAAAGAAACGAAAAAGGAAACCCGCGATAAACTCGAATTCAAGATCACTTATGCCTTCAGCCTTTATACGATCCAGTATACTGTATAGAATCTTGTTACAAAAAAATCTCTTTTCTCTGAATAATCGCTTACAACGATGTCGTTCTTTTGGTTCTTTCCCAATAGTCACAACGTCACATGATTTACTGTATAACGATTTTTTTGGAATGCGTAGCAATTTTCCAAGTCCAATCGGCTTGATTGTAAAGACATTTTACAGTATAAAGTCCTGAATTAATTCACAAAGAACCTTTTCAATTCTCATCAAAAATAATTGAACAATGCTCACAGTTACTGTAAAATATTAACTTTCAACACCCTCCGTTCCTTTAGGATTCAGACTTAGAAGGGAAATTCTTTGCATCCGTTCACGGTCGATTCCACTCAAACGAATTCGGAAAAAATAATTTCAACTACGAGCCGTTTGACAGAAGAAGGTCGCAAATATACTTCAAGTGTTCAACGGGGGGAAGAAATGTTGGCCCTGGTCGCTCCGACATTATGATATAAGGGAATTTATGTTCCGAATAAACTTCCGAGTTCGAACAACAAAAGGACCAGTTTCATCCAATCGAAAATGTACGTCTCCTCTACAACATCTTCAATTTTCCCCAGCGATCAATAATCATCAACCAACGAGTAACAAATTATGAACATAAGCTTGAACTGGTCGCAAGAAAAATGCGAAAGTTCGTCCGATATATGATGCATATATAGTCCTCCGTGTCAAATGCATTTTCGCTGGCTCGTTTTTCGATCTTTTGAGCAAAAAAGAAAGAATGTTGTACTCGAGTAAATAAGACATATTTCCTTCCTGGAACGAAAGAAGATTACTGTGTTCTGCGGTTGTGGGCCACAGACCATGTTTCGGGGCTTCTATGCCGATCGTTATTGGGCCAGGAATTCGAGAGAGAAAAAAAAAAGACAACTTGATGTCCTCCCTCTGTATACTGTATACGGAGTGCAACAAATGTTCTTAAAATATAAATTGAAACAGAATACATTGAGCTGAAAATCATTCATTGGTCATATAAAGATTCTTTGGCAGAAGAAAATGTTTACCACGCTTTTTTTTTAAATTTACCCTGACCCGTAGAATAAAGGTGAGAAATAAGTTTTCTACTCTAACAAAAAATCAGGTCAAGGAGGAAGTTTTAAGAAATTTGACTGTATCGTAATTTAGGTTCCCAACCGGGGTAATGAACTAATAGCTAAGGATTAAATACCGCCTTCACAGCACCCGCTAGCAGTCGGGATGATCATGTGGTGGCTGTGCGGAAGCTGTTGATGAAAATGGTGGAATTTTCTGGAAGAGCTGAAGGCAACTCTTGGAATCGATAAATGTATTTCAAAAGTACTGAAGAAAATGCTGGACGTCATACAAAAAATCTGCGATATGGGCACCTCATCTTTCGTGTGATGAGCGGAACGACGTTCACAAAATAATGTCGAACTGGGTTTAATTTCTTTCTCTTGCGCCAGAGAATGGTTTTCTTCTGTCTTGAGCTCAGTCACATTCCATTTCAATTTCTATCCCCAGAACTTTCGTTCGACCCCTCGCATATATATTGTATGTACCTCCATCCTGGCTTGACACATAACGATGAAGCAAAGAACCTCATTTGCCTCATTTCCGCTCTCCCGGTGGGATAATCAGGCAAAGTTATGACCCATGCATTTACGGGGTTCAGCTATACACAGGCGCCGAAATACTGCAGTGGATGACCATCAGTATAGCAGGCAGCAGTGGGTAACCACGGAGTTCCAGATGCTGTGCCCGTCCTTGGCACTGCGTCGAGTTGGTTCCTTGCGGCCCGCAACTTGTTTATCGTCGGCGTCTACCGTCTGCTGAATGTAAGGTGTGACCTAATATAAGCGCTTAAACAAGCTAGTCCCGTACTCATATATTAAAATAAGTCCCGTGGCGCGGAACGCTTCTCAGCTTTCCAGTTGCTAATGTGCGCCACGATCCGAAATAATTCGTCCAAAAAATACAAGAATATACTGCACGCTCATTTACCCGAAGGATGTCTCAAGTTCGGCGAACGGGGTTTTTTTCCCTGTGCACCTGATTCCCAGCTGGACCCAACGAAAGAATAGTCACATGAAGAAGTACACATGCCCGACGACCGTGGAAAATCGTGAAGGAATAATAAGGATAGACAAGTCAAGAACCTGTGTACAATATATTTATACTCAACTGGAATACCAAATTTTAACAATTATATTGATAAATTAAGTAAGAGAAGAAATAGAACTGACCAGAGAGGGAATATTCAAGCAGATATGAAAGGTCAATGCCAGAATTTTCGTCTGATGCGGACATATTTTTCTTCATTCGAAGTCAGTTTTCATTTTTAAAATTAATACTAAAATGAAAAAAACGGGCAGTTTACAAATTCATTCTTTCACCTTCGTAGGACTCTGATGATGAGTCTCAAGAATTCTCCATAGATATCCAGATCAAAGTTGTCGGAACAGCATTTGAACAAACAAGCTGAATGACTTGCAACAGCTGAGTCCATAACTTATCCAATACTTGGAAAATCATCGTCCAACGGTGCTGGCTGAATTTGAACGGAAAATCAGATACCAGCTTCAGGTAATATTGCTTTTATAAGACTGAATTGATCATCTTTTTTTGGATATTTGCTAGATAATCATGATGAGCCAGCAGACGAATATTTCTGCAGAGATTTTCTAAATTCAGGTCTCTTTCAAAAATAGGCTGAATTTGTTACCACTGTCCACCGAATTAAGCAATCTATTGAATAATTAGGACTATTCCCATTTTCCTGTTCATTAGAAAATATTGTGATGCCCTACTACTGCTCAATTTCGCTAAAACGAGAAACGAAGGTACGAAATGCATGAACATTTCGTCCAAATTCCCCAGAAGCGATTTCAAGATAATTCATCAGCAGCAATTGATGTATGGCAGGTGGATCCCTGAAGTACAGCAATCGCCGTACGTTACGGCGTATGGGCTACTTTTACCTCGTAAATTGATTTACCGCACACTGCTGAATCTCCGTGTTCTGACGCGGTGAACCCTAATACTGTTATGATGTTT